AAAAAAAGAAAAAAAAAATTATAAAGTACAGCTCATGTGTATCTGTTGTGTTGTTTCACTTCCGCTTGGAAGATTTTTTTTACATCAGCCGGGAGGATGAAAACCAGACTACCTACTGGTATCTGATGTAATTATCAAAGTGTCGCAAATGTTTCAACAATCGATCATAATGGATGTTTATGAAAGCGGACAACATCACAGATTTTTATCATTATTATAGATATCCACTGATAATAACTGATACGTTCCTTAGTGGACAAGCTTTATGAATATAATTGTAATTGGAGCTCAAGATATATTGATCTTTTCAGTAAAAGAATGTGACAAATGATTTTATATATCTAGGACATCATGGTAATTGTAATTGATATCTGGGTTGAGAATTTGACCTATAATCCAGTCAGTTTCAATATATATATTCTAATGCAGTAGGAAGTGGCCCATTGGATCTGTATCGCTCACCTGCTTCACTGCTTACAAAGAAACCACATTATGTAGGGAGTCGATATTGGTAACTGTCATGTTTTATCCATACATTGAAGATTATAACACATTTGACCCAAATCAAATGATCTTGGAAATGGATAAAAATCATTCATTCCAGCATGTTATAGGCCAAATATAACCCTGCATGGATCTCCTCTTGTTTTTTGAATAGAAGCTTTGAAAGATATTAACACATTTGACTTGAGAGAGGGTCAAGGTCATTCATTTAGACAAACATGTCTTTAGTACAACAGTTATTGTAGCTATATCCCAGCAAGCCACTGGCTGTATATCATGATCCTGGGCCTTTTGGTTTTTGAGAAGATGTAAATGGATGCTGTGCCACAGCATATTCCATCAAGTGAGCTAGAAGTTGTAGCCTTAACAGAGGAATAATCGTAACTGCCAACTTCCAATATACAATTATTTTACAAAAAACAAAGCAAGTCAATTACAACAACGTTTTTAATCAATTTCCTCTTGATACATAAACCATGTTAAAACGTATACATCCCTGTATAAACGGGACATCTGAACAATACTGAAGAGTGAGCGATTGGTGGTTTTATCTTGGGAGAAAATTTAACAAGTTCTGATCAATAATTATATTATCAATGTTATTATACATGTACAACACTTAATCAACAACATTCAGCTCATGCTGGAAACATACTTCATTTAGCAGAATCAAATTTTAGCACATTATCACTTTTTGGCGAATTAGAACAACAATAAATTAGCCACAATAACTGCAATTAGCTAATAATACTTTAGCACAATACTTTCAGGCCAATTGGGGTCAGATAAGATTACAGTTAAAAACTGTATGTTTACATCAATTAAACATATGACAACAAACACATCTTCAGCCTTAATGTGTACATGGACATCATCATTTCATTGTTCATGATAGAGATTAAGATGTAACTATTTTTTCCTCTGTAACTTTTTATCATTTATTGATTTAGATGTTGAGGCATCTTTAGCCCCTAGATAATGTTTTGACTGTGATCAGTATAGCAATAGGAATGCCCTGGTGTTTGAAATACCATTACCTATATATATAAATATATCTAGATATATATATACGAACATCGAGTAAGGACTGTATTACAGTATACTGAGAATATTCATCTTTGGAGAAAATAGCACCTTAACATATTGTAAAATATTGACATACAAACCAGAAAGACAGAGTAATACTTAATTAATAAGGAAGATATTTGATGTAAAATCAAAAGTCTATAGCACGTGACTAAATATAAAATTACATTTGAATTATATAGTCATTTAATGAAATGCTGATATATATATAAGTTTATTTCGTCCTTTTATTCCTTATAATTTGGTTACACAGTAGTACAAAATGTAACATATTTATATAGTTCCTGGTTCTATCCTGTCTTTGAAATGCAGAGTTATCTGCCCTTGTAAGCAGATACCTGGTATTGATTATTGTGTTTAGTGATTACATCATTTTCCCCGTGATGTTGCTTTCATAAACAAAGGACATAATAATCGATATCTGTCCAGAGCAGATTTGTCTGTATTACTAAAACACAGAATATCTGCAGTACAGACAACACATCCCTTCCTTCTATTTCTGATGTATATTGTCCAACCATAAGTTGATGTCAGGTAATAAGCTCACCAATATCTATCTCTGTTCAGTAGAACTACCAACAGATGTTAATCAAATGCTGTGCAATAATCCCAGTCCCTGACTTTAGAATTTGTGTACGTAAAGATAAATATGTTTATAAAGATAATTCTGTGAATGGCTTGGCTAAATACAGTCTGCTCCGTTTGTAATCTTCATCATATGTACCGTTATCTTTGCCGTGATTAATTTCAGATAATGTTCAAATCAGTTCTAGTCAATTTTACCTCAGCCCACTCACAAATATCTAATGATATTAAGTTAACTTTAAAGTTCACTCCACCAATATCTCAAACGATATGTCATACTGATTATATTATAAAGGAAGTAGGCTGACGTGGTTTGTACAATAAGAATCAAATATGGTCTCAGATGATGGAGTCTGTTCTTTGGCTCAGCTGGTAGAGTCTGGAATACTTAGACAGAGACCAGGTTCCATTCCTGGTTGGGACACTCGAAAGAAATATGTGTTTTCCTTGTTCTTTACAGAGAAGGAAGGATAGAAAATATACTGTATGGTGTAGCTTTAACTACATGTAAATCATATTATATCCGCGTTATTGAGGTTTCATTCCTAATGTAAACATGGAAGGAATTCCTGTTCAGGTTAAATCTATTTACACAACTAAACTCAAGTTATCATCCAGGTATTGATTAAATACTGAAATGACAGTTAAAATATCAAAGTTTGAAGTACCCGGTAAGCATGCTGTAAACGGAAACCCTGAATTACGTCCATAGATTTATCAAACATAAGTCACTGTAATCCCTTTTCATAACAGGACTTAATCAACATCTCTTTGATGATGAATTTGTGATGTCATAATTTCTAACTTCCAAATTTATTTAAATTTTTCGTGAAAGCATTGAACTAAAGTCAAATTCTGATATGTGAGTACATTTTGTATGTTGTATATACAGTTACCTAATAATTAAGTTTTACTCCACATCAAACTCACACGTAACATTCTAATACATAAAAATTCATTTCATAAGAAAACAAATAACTCTCCAATTGTTTTCTCTTTAAGAAAAACAATGTTTGATTTCAGACAATGCTTTTTTACTACCAACACCATCATAGGATGTAATCCACTTCATGAGACCATAATAAGGTTATTTACATTGTCAATGTATAATGCTCTCAATGACTGTTGTCTGTATTCAGAAAAATAAAATTGCATTGCAAATTATGGTAGATGATAATGAAAAGATAAACATGTATTTATACAGAGTGTTCATGATTTTTATCACTTAATAAAAAATTACAAGACCTACAAAAAGAAGTTTGTTTAAAATCGTAGACTATAACACTGATATGTTTAAATTGATAGGTACTGGAAAACTAGGTGTTCAGCTAGCACACAACAGAGAAAGGAAGCTGGACTATTAATAGATCTCACTTAAATGAAACATTCTTAGACTTATTTTATAAATCTCGAATGAAATGAAAATTTATGTGGGATTCTATATAAATCTACTTTATAGGAAATCTTCGTAATTGACGTGAATCGTTTCAGAAACGGGAAGTTACCTTTTACTGTTTAGAGCCGATACTGATGATGGACTGTTAAATCATATATTGCATAGGTTTTCAAAATATGAACTTTGTTAAGTTAATAAATAGTAGCCATAAAATCAGGTGGACAAATATATTAAGAGTGTAGCAATGAGAATAGACGAAAAAAACACACAAAAAAAAAAAACAAAAACAAAAAAAAACAATAATTTGACAGTATGAACTGATCATCATTATCAACAGAACATTCGGCTTGTAAATATTCAGCTGTAAACATTCAGGTGGCAACTGACAAATACTGCTTAGGCACAAAATTCTAAACTAAATTTTGATTTCAGTGTAACACATCGTCACCAACAAGAGGCCTAAAAGGCCTGTATTACCCTACTCAGAAAACAAAAATGGGCCCAAAGGGCCTGTATTGTCCATAAAGATTTGGGTATCGCCCACCTTAGAATACAACAACTGTATTGCCGTCCAAGATGGTTTAGCAGATCACATTTACATTGTAAGGAATTTTAAAAAAGATGAACTCTTCAGATTTTCCTCTGGATCACAAAGAATGGTGCAGACCAAATTTGGACAAAATCCTGGTCATTCCTTCATAAGAAGGATTATCAGGAATTTACAAATTTCCATTATTACTTGCCACACAGTGCCCAGACCAGCTCTTTGTATAAAATTTGATTGTCTTTCCCTATTCGGCTCATACACCATAACTTCTATCACAACAGAATAAGAAATATAGGTTCAAAATCTGCTCAGTCTTTCATGAATTGAAGTAATTTTTAAAGAAAAAAAGTTGACGGATGCTGCACTTTGGCATTTGAATGTAATATTGTAGCACAATTGTTCTATCACCAAGAGAAACAAAATAATTATAACAGAATTAAGTACAAAATCTGATCTGACCACAACTACATTCTATTTAATACGTGCAACAATAAATGTTCTAATCTCCCTGAACATAACATCAACTAAATATTACTTTACACAAGTGATATCAAAGTATGAAATGAATCGTTTTCAAACTATCAGTATTTTACTGACCATTGATAAAATCATCAGCCTTCTATGGTACTTACATTAGAAAAATCATGGAGATATACGCCTACATTTGTGCATATTGATCAAATTAAAAGGATATCAACCAACATCTTGAGATATCTACCAACATTCCAAGATATCAGTCAATAACTGGAGATATCAGCTGACACCTTGAGATATCAGCCAACACCTTGAGATATCAGCCGACACCTTGTGATATCAGCCGACACCTTGAGATATCAGTCGACACCTTGAGATATCAGCCGACACCTTGATATATCAGTCGACACCTTGAGATATCAGCCGACACCTTGATATATCAGCTGACACCTTGAGATATCAGTTGACATCTTGAGATATCAACCAACACCTTGATATATCAGGTCACATCTGCAGATACCAGCCAACACCTGTAGATATCACTTCCTGTCCACGGATATCCTCCACTATGGGTTATAATCTTTCCAATTGGACCAGTTATTGGTGAGCTAGTCAACATGTTGAGTCTACTTCAATATTTTTCACTGTCATCTGCAATATAGATGGGGAGTGAAACCAGACAGGTATCCTTATTATATAAAGCTAGATGTAAGTCCATGCTGAGATCAGAGACAGAGTGGTACAGGGCTCGTATTAACTTCTTCATCTCAGGAAGAACATTAATTCAACTTCCACTTTTACTAATTATGTGTTAAACCTCAACAAACTCTTTTAACACTATATCCCATGTGTTTACCTGTTTGTGCCTCTGTGAATGTCAGGTGATTTCTATATGTTATGGGACCATCATTCTAATGGCATCACTTAGCACATACAATACAGGGCTCTCACACCCCATTTCGGGACTGGGGCCCCGGGCCCTTAGAATTGGGAAAAATAGCGGTGTTTTCCTTTCATTGGGAAAACTTGGGGTCTAAATTGGGAAAAAAAAGATACTTTTTTGCATTGGGAATATTCGGCCCCAAATCTGGCAGATCAAGAGCCCTGCAATATCTACAGTATACATTTCTTCATTGTAAATTACACTGATATTTCTACTTTAATTTTGATAACAGAATATCAAATTCATTTAAATATTAAATATTGAGGAGGCAAGCACAGACAACAAGAAGAAGAAGTCTATCTGCCATGCTTTCTTTCGTAAAATGTAAATTAAGTTAAAAAAAAACTTTTCTGTGAAAAAAAAAAAAAAAAATCCCAATAAAGTGTTTACCTTGATTTTCTGGATTTCACTTCAAATGTCTCAATCTCTGGAAGGAAATAATACACATTACAATACAACCAAAGTCAATCCTAGGTCATAGGTCTAAGGTCAAGGTCATTGTGTTACATGTAGTAACCATTTTCTGTCTTATTTCTTGTAATCAGTCCAGGAGCCATATCTTTGAGGTACAGGAGTGTCTTAAATAAGTTCAAACATGATGGTTATTATCCGTAGTTACAATGCTTTCATTTAATGTTTAATGCTGGATTTTTGACTTACCAGGAGAAGTCTTTTAAAAGTTTCAACAAATTGCATCATGTGACCTTAAATATGGGTCATGGTCATCTCTTTTCACAAACTTTGTCGGGCTTGTTCCGAGAAACTTTTCCACAAAATACCATGCTTCTGCACCCTTTTGTTAGTCAGATGAAGTTGTTTAAAGACTTCAAAAAATTTGATCCCTGTGGCATTGAATACTGGTCAAAATTTTTTTATTGCCTTTTGCAAACATTGTCCCGTTTCCTCTTATGTACATATCAGTCAATTATCAGCCATTTTTGGTTGGTCAGAAGAAGTTGTTTGAGAGTTTTAACACCTTTCACACCTGTAATCTTGAATAAGGGTTAACATTATTTCCTTTTGTCTTCATCCTAGCAAACCATCAGCCAATACCGTGACATTTGGTGTCTACACTATTGAGAAGAAATTTTTTTAAATGGAAAAAATGACCCTTTGGGCCAGGTGAGCTAAAATATCTAACAATGTACTTCATGCTAAAAGTAATATTACACCACCAGATGTTTTCGGAGCCCCCTTGTCTACAGACTGATACTGTTTAAAATGTGACCAGCCCACTCATGAGTGAATTTTGAATAACTTTAAAATGGTGCCAATTTGCTGTCAATATCGTCACATCATGTCATATCATGTCAGTTGTTATGCCTCGAAATTTGTTATCAAAGAATCCTTCATGTATTATCAAATTCATACATTTATGTGTTATTTTTGGTTTTTGAAACACATCTAAGGAATTAATTATAAGATATGATAGGAATATTTTGTAGTTATACCAAAATTAAACTAAAACAAATTCTCCTATCAAAGCTTAATTAAATCAAATTTTATAAAATCAAAATGTTTCATATCTACCACAAATCTTTACTCCTGTTTCACGACACGGCCTTTAAATTCATCCATGGAGTTGGAGGCACCAAAGTACAGACACAAAATGGACAACACTTTTGTTGGAATGATTCTGAAAAAACAATATGAAAGACAGAAGGTCAGTTATACTGCTACAGATATATACTCTCGTCTATTGTTGATTTTCATCAGCCTCTTCTCAATCACGTATATGGAGGATAAGGCAGGCACATAAGTTTTCCGACAGATTTCACAAGTAAATGTTTTGGACAGATCATGGTACCAAAATAACTATCAATCTGCCATCCCATACACACTATTCTTACTAAGATTGAATCATTTCCAATACCTATTTAACAAATGATGTTAATATAATTTTCCTATACAAACTGGCAAATTTACCTTCTCTCCAGGGGAAAGTGTGGGACTGCAGGATTATGTAGTTCACAGTTCTATCATTTCTGGGTATTGAGAAGAAAAGTTTTGAAATTTTGGCCAATTGCACCCTTTTTGCTCCACCTATCAGCCCCCAGGGATCAGTAAGGATTAGTATGTGCATACTATCATACTGCCATCCCACACCTATCAGCCCCCAGGGGACAGTAAGGATTAGTATGTGCATACTATCATACTGCCATCCCACACCTATCAGCCCCCAGGGGTCAGTAAGGATTAGTATGTGCATACTATCATACTGCCATCCCACACCTATCAGCCCCCAGGGGTCAGTAAGGATTAGTATGTGCATACTATCATACTGCCATCCCACACCTATCAGCCCCCAGGGGTCAGTAAGGATTAGTATGTGCATACTATCATACTGCCATCCCACACCTATCAGCCCCCAGGGGTCAGTAAGGATTAGTATGTGCATACTATCATACTGCCATCCCACACCTATCAGCCCCCAGGGGTCAGTAAGGATTAGTATGTGCATACTATCATACTGCCATCCCACACCTATCAGCCCCCAGGGGTCAGTAAGGATTAGTATGTGCATACTATCATACTGCCATCCCACACCTATCAGCCCCCAGGGGTCAGTAAGGATTAGTATGTGCATACTATCATACTGCCATCCCACACCAATAATTCTGACCAAGACAGTATAACTTTCATTCTACTACAATTAAACAATTCATACTCCCATGTTTGATTTCCATATGTTTACAAGGGCCATCAGAGTCCCAATTGGGACAAATATGAAAAATAACAAAGGGCAATAACTCCTAAATGATGAAAGAAAGTGATGGTTCTTAAGCACTGCATTTCTCCTTGCTGTGATCTATCTACCTATGAAGCTTAATTGATACCTCTTGTAGTTTTTGTGTTATGCTCCGTACAATTTTATGATGGACAGACAGGTGGACCGCATCCATCAAACCCTGGGGTTAAACTTGCCCGATATGTCTGTACCAGTAAACTGCTATCCCATGGTTAACATTGAAAAGATGTCATATATAGACTTTATCACAATTGAACCTGTGACCTTGAAAGTAAGTTGAGATCATTTATCTAAGCATGCTATTTGTGAAATATCATGACCCTGGGCCTCTTGATCATTGAAAAGAAGTTGTTAAAGATTTTAAAACATTTGATCCTTGTGATCTTGAAAATGGGTCAAGGTTATACATCTGAACACTTTTTATAAGCCTTTATCCCATCATACTACAGACTCAATATCAGCACCCTAGGCCTCTTGGTTAATGAGAAGTCAAAAATGTGAAATTGTTTACAATGCAAAGCCACATACAAAAGGCGATCTTAATCTTGAGATCAAGTGACCTAAAAAAAAGTAGTTCCCTACCCTTTCAGACCCATAAAGAAGTACAAGGAACGAGGGAGTATGATGACTTTCTGGTTACAAAGAACAGCATCTATAATCCTGTTGGCTGCGAAGTCTGGCTCAAGAATCGGCAGTAACCATGGCACCCTAGTAAAAAAAAAAAGAGATAGCTTGTCAACACACATCTCTAATCATGTACAGAATACCAAAGCAACCCACTTTCCATCTTTACTGATAATAATTAAGTTTTGATAAACACAACGAAAAACTTAAATGATGCCACACCTGCCTTAAGCACCAATGATATACACCAAATTCTTGTCGCGCGCTTACATCCGGGCCAACAAGAGTGATTAGTATAAGTTGACATGTTTTGCAATTGTTGTAAAATAAATAAAGTTTATATTTATAAATTCTTGTCTATAAAGGCCTCTTGTTTTGGTTCTCAGTGTTGTACATTTCATTGAACCTCTTTATAAAAGCCACCTGTTCTTACAGGAGACTTATCTGTCGTCCCTTGAGTGACTTTATAAACAGATGTGGCTCTGTAAGGTTTATTAAAGACAATTTTCAATAGATTACTGTATTTATCATGCCAGGATGACCTCTAACTAAAAGTAGAAGGATGGGCTTATTACAGGACACAGATACAACATGTGTTGGTATTTCTCCTGAATCTATAATAGACAACGATGGGCTTATTACAGGACACAGATACAACATGTGTTGGTATTTCTCCTGAATCTACAATAGACAACGATGGGCTTATTACAGGACACAGATACAACATGTGTTGGTATTTCTCCTGAAATTCTATTAGACAATGGTGGGCTTGTAACAGGACACAGATACAACATGTGTTGGTATTTCTCCTGAAATTCTGTTAGACAATGGTGGGCTTATAACAGGACACAGATACAACATGTGTTGTTATTTCTCCTGAATCTGTTATAGCCAATGGTGGGCTTATTACAGGACACAGATACAACATGTGTGGGTATTTCTCCTGAATCTGTAATAAGACAATGGTGGGCTTATTACAGGACACTGATAACATGTGTGAGAGGGGACAAAACTCTGACAGATCATAATTTGGCCTGCTTCAGTAATCCAGCTGCTTCATTATATGGTCAATTTTGTTTGAAAACAGAGCTAGCTGGATTAGTGAGGCTTCTGTACAGGATAAATTTTGTTTGTAGATGAGGGTGGGCTTATTGCAAGGCATGGGATAACTGACAGACAAATACAGTAAAACTGTTTCTATGAATTACTGTTATAAGGTACAAAATATTTTGGTGGATGAAGAAGAAAAGTATTGTTTACAAAATATTGTTTAATGCTATCAGGTACAGCATGAAATAAAAGTGAAAGATTGAAAAAGTGTGAATAGGTTTTCAGTACCTTGTTTTACAGCCTTCGAACATGCCAGTGGAGATATAGAAAGGACAGACAGCTGTTGTATGTACACCATCTTTTCCAAGCATTTCCAATTCAAACCTGAGTGACTCATCAAATCCAACAGCTCCAAACTTACTGGCACAATAATCACAAAGTCCATTCACTCCGAGCAGTCCCGCGGAACTGGCAATGTTCACGATGTGACCATGGTTACGCTCCATCATCCCAGGTAGAAACGCCTTACACATCTAGTGGCAAATTTCGTTTTTCAGTAAACAATGCATGTATGAAAAGTCAACAAATTTTCTGTTTTTTTTTTTTTTTTATTTATTTCTAAATTTCCAGAAAGTTTTGCAATACTGTAAACTGACATTTACATCAATATTTACTGGAATATCAATATATTGGTTGATACATTGACTATTGCAGCAATCAAGGTCATTGTCCAAGGACACACATATTCTGACTGAGGGGGAGGGGTATTTACAATGAAATAGTATTAATTTGTAACTCTACCAACAGATATAGCAGATATTGGCGGGCTTATACTGAGATATGGGTTTATTGTCAGATACATACATGGTATTACCTAAATATAATCTTGTTCAGTGGACAGTTACATCTCAAGCTTAAGAGTTTGGCTGGTCAGCACATAGCTAAGGGTTAAGATATTTCAATGAAACAGTCTCATGTCTGGTGATCTTTCTCACATACTTAAATCAAAGTTTTACATGGCATTATTTTGTGAGCAACAAGTTCTTCCTTTATAACTTGAGGTCCAAGAAAATGTCAAATAGAACCAAAAGACCCATAGGGCCTGTATTGCTCACTTGGCTTTGCTTGGCTGAAATTGCTTCACCAAAACTAAAGGAAAAGGACTTCTAGATATCAAACTACACAACACACAACATATCTGTTTTATCATAGGGCCTCCAACCTCTGCCCCTTGGGAGTCAGCCAAAAGATTTTAAAGAATTTGTTCTATTTCCCCCGTGATGGTTCCTGCCCTTCCCACCCCATGGGTTAGAGACCCACCATTTATACAAAATCAAGCATTCCTAAAGGAGGAGTAGAATTGTAAAGATTGAAATATGATCTATTTTCCATATTGGGCCCTGCCCCACAGTGCCAAAACCCACACTTTACACAAAATTTTATTCTGATTCAGAGAACCATTTTTTTGTATTGTGAAAATAATTTTCCTTTAACGAGCAATGCTTCAGATCAAATTTGGACAAAACCAAACAATCCCTATAGAAAGTAAAGGATGTAAGAAAGAGTTGTCCCATCAATAACCACGGGATCACCTTGTCAGGTATGTTAGATGAAGTTATCCCATCCCAAATCACAGGATCATCCTGTCAGGTATGTAAGATAGGGTAATCCCATCCCACATCACAGGATCACCCTGTCAGGTATGTAAGAAAGAGTTATCCCATCCCACACCACAGAATCACCCTGTCAGGTATGTAAGATAGAGTTATCCCATCTCTAACCACAGGATCACCCTGTCAGGTATGTAAGATAGAGTTATCCCATCCCTAACCACAGGATCACCCTGTAAGGTATGTAAGATAGGGTAATCCCATCCCAAATCACAGGATTACCCTGTCAGGTATGTGAAAAAACCCTTTGTATACAATAGAAATGATTAAGCTATAATCCCTAACCACAGAAATCACCCTAATGTGTAAGGTATATGTTGTCCGGTGCTTGGAGGAATTTTTTACCAGTGACAATCCCAGCATTGTTTACTAGGATATCCACATCACCTGTCAGGTATGTGAAAAAACCAACTGTTAATATCAAAATACTTAAAACTCCTTAAGTCAGGTTTATACAATAGAAATGATTACAGCTACAAATATATATTTTGCTTACCCAGAAATAGATTTTGCTATCTAATGTGTTACTTACAATGTTTTTTGCTATCATGTTGTCAGGTTTGCTACAATGATATAGAATTTTTTACCAGTGACAATCCCAGCATTGTTTACTAGGATATCCACATCACCGGTGTCTTGTTTCACCTGTAATAGTGACCAACTGTTAATATCAAAATACTTAAAACTCCTTAAGTCAGGTTTATAAGCAGTATACAGATTTAACTATCCCCTAACACAGGTTTACTAACAAATATATAGATTTTGCTGTCTCCAATGTCAGGTTTACTTACAATGATATAGATTTTGCTATCTCCAATGTCAGGTTTACTTACAATGATATAGATTTTGCTGTTTCCCATGTCAGGTTTACTTACAATGATATAAATTTTGCTGTCTCCAATGTCAGGTTTACTTACAATGATATAGATTTTGCTGTCTCCAATGTCAGGTTTACTTACAATGATATAGATTTTGCTGTCTCCAATGTCAGGTTTACTTACAATGATATAGATTTTGCTGTTTCCCATGTCAGGTTTACTTACAATGATATAGATTTTGCTATCTCCAATGTCAGGTTTACTTACAATGATATAGATTTTGCTGTCTCCCATGTCAGGTTTACTTACAATGATATAGATTTTGCTGTTTCCCATGTCAGGTTTACTTACAATGATATAGATTTTGCTGTCTCCAATGTCAGGTTTACTTACAATGATATAGATTTTGCTATCTCCAATGTCAGGTTTACTTACAATGATATAGATTTTGCTATCTCCAATGTCAGGTTTACTTACAATGATATAGATTTTGCTGTCTCCAATGTCAGGTTTACTTACAATGATATAGATTTTGCTGTCTCCAATGTCAGGTTTACTTACAATGATATAGATTTTGCTGTCTCCAATGTCAGGTTTACTTACAATGATTAAACAGTGATATTACTTGTTCAGAGACATACTACAGCTATACTGTATACCAGAAAAGCTTAACTGTCACACTTATCCTTTTGTGAACAGGCCAAAAGTATCAAGTGGGAATATATTGGCCATTATGTACACGTACTTTTGTGTGAAGTGGGAAATCACCACTATAAAGTGATACTTTCACAGGACGGGAGAACATACTAGGTTAAACGTGATGTAAGTGGGGCACTGGGTCCTTTAAATTTTAGCAAGAATGTTACTGATATGTTGAGGTATTACTGCCCGTCAGGAATATGGTAATCTGTTCCCATCTGATCTACATACGACAGGATGTATTGTTGCTGTAATGTAACATTATACTATTTTATGAAACAAATAGTGTTCCAACTTATATTGAGCACTTTTTCTGTAGGTGGAAACCATATGTACAGTATCTGCGGAAAACTCAAATGATCAGGCAGCGTGACCGCATACCTTTTCATGTATGTCCAAAAACTCCAAGCCTGGATGCTTAGGTGAAAAGTTTACCCTCAATATATTTTACAGGTGGAATCACTGTTACCTTGATTACAGGTAAGAACATGATGCAAGGTCAACAACAACAAATCAATTTTCTGAATAAGACTACAACTTTATAATGACGTCGGTACACTTGTGACAGAAAAACGTTTGTGTCTCCTGATTGCCCGCGGACATTCTACTTTACCTGACTAGCTACTCTGTAGATGTCGTCCCTCTTACTTAGGTCCACAGTGTAGGTTCTAGCCGATGCTCCCACACTTTTACACTGACGAGCTGTTTCTTCATTTCCTTTTGAATCAATATCCCATAATATCAAACGACATCCTAATTCAGCAAATCGTACTGCCATCAATCTGCCAATTCCACTTCCTGTAAAGAGAATGTACCTCATAATAAAAAACACTTAAAAAATGACACATAGGAATAATTGGAATCAATAATAAATTATGTAAAGATAATATTTCACAGGTGTTAAAGGTAACAACAAAATACCTGACACAGGTGTTAAAGGTAACAACAAAATACCTGACACAGGTGTTAAAGGTACCTGACACAGGTGTTAAAGGTAACAACAAAATACCTGACACAGGTGTTACAGGTAACAACAAAATACCTGACACAGGTGTTACAGGTAACAACAAAATACCTGACACAGGTGTTAAAGGTAACAACAAAATACCTGACACAGGTGTTAAAGGTAACAACAAAATACCTGACACAGGTGTTACAGGTAACAACAAAATACCTGACACAGGTGTTAAAGGTAACAACAAAATACCTGACACAGGTGTTAAAGGTAACAACAAAATACCTGACACAGGTGTTAAAGGTAACAACAAAATACCTGACACAGGTGTTAAAGGTAACAACAAAATACCTGACACAGGTGTTACAGGTAACAACACAATACTTGACACTGGTGTTACAGGTAACAACACAATACCTGACACAGGTATTACAGGTAACAACAAAATACCTGACACAGGTATTACAGGTTACAACACAATACCCGACACAGGTGTTACAGGTAACAACACAATACATGACACAGGTGTTACAGGTAACAACACAATACTTGCCACAGGTGTAACAGATAACAACAATACTTGCCACAGGTGTTACAGGTAACAACACAATCCTGCCACAGGTGTTACAGGTAACAACACAATACCTGACACAGGTGTAACAGGTTACAACACAATACCTGACACAGGTGTTACAGGTAACAACGCAATACCTGACACAGGTGTTACAGGTAACAACACAATACCTGACACAGGTGTTACAGGTAACAACACAATACATGACACAGGTGTTACCGGTAACAACACAATACCTGACACAGGATTTATAGGTAACAACACAATACCTGACACAGTTGTTACTGGTAACAACACAATACCTGACACAGGTGTTACAGGTAACAACACAATACCTGACACAAGTGTTACAGGTAACAACAAAATACCTGACACATGTGTTACAGGTAACAACACAATACCTGACACAGGTGTTACAGGTAGCAACACAATACCTGACACAGGTGTTACAGGTAACAACACAATACCTGACACAAGTGTTAGAGGTAACAACACAATACCTGACACATGTGTTACAGGTAACAAAATAACACATGACACAGATGTTACAGGTAACAACAAAATACCTGACACAGGTATTACAGATTACAACATAAAACCTGACACAGGTGTTACAGGTAACAACACAATACCTGACACAGGCGTTACAGGTAACAACATAATACCTGACACATGTGTTACAGGTAACAACACAATACCTGACATAGGTGTTACAGGTAACAACAAAATACCTGACAGGTGTTAAAGGTAACTACATAATACCTGACACAGGCGTTACAGGTAACAACACAATACATGACACAGATGTTACAGGTAACAACAAAATACCTGACACAGGTATTACAGGTTACAACACAAAACCTGACACAGGTGTTACAGGTAACAACACAATACTTGACACTGGTGTTACAGGCAACAACACAATACCTGACACATGTGTTACAGGTAACAACACAATACCTGACACAGGTGTTACAGGTAACAACAAAATACCTGACACATGTGTTACAGGTAACAACACAATACCTGACACAGGTGTTACAGGTAGCAACACAATACCTGACACAGGTGTTACAGGTAACAACACAATACCTAACACAAGTGTTACAGGTAACAACACAATACCTGACACATGTGTTACAGGTAAAAAATACCTGACACAGGTGTTACAGGTAAAAACAAAATACCTGACATATGTGTTACAGGTTACAACACAATACCTGACACTGGTGTTACAGGTAACAACACAATACCTGACACAGGTGTTACAGGTAGCAACAAAATACCTGACACAGGTGTTACAGGTAACAACACAATACCTGACACAGGTGTTACAGGTAACAATACAATACCTGACACAGGTGTTACAGGTAACTACATAATACCTGACACAGGTGTTACAGGTAACAACACAATACCTGACACAGGTGTTACAGGTAACAACAAAATACCTGACACAGGTGTTACAGGTAACAACACAATACCTGACACAGGTGTTACAGGTAGCAACACAATACCTGACACAGGTGTTACAGGTAACAACACAATACTTGACACATGTGTTACAGGTAACAAAATAACACATGACACAGATGTTACAGGTAACAACAAAATACCTGACACAGGTATTACAGGTTACAACACAAAACCTGACACAGGTGTTACAGGTAACAACACAATACTTGACACTGGTGTTACAGGCAACAACACAATACCTGACACATGTGTTACAGGTAACAACACAATACCTGACACAGGTGTTACAGGTAACAACACAATACCTGACACAGGTGTTAAGGGAACAACACAATACATGACACAGGTGTTACAGGTAACAACACAATACTTGACACTGGTGTTACAGGTAACAACACAATACCTGACACAGGTGTTAAGGGAACAACAAAATACATGATACAGGTGTTACAGGTAACAACACAATACCTGACACAGGTGTTACAGGTAACAACACAATACCTGACACAGGTGTTAAGGGAACAACAAAATACATGATACAGGTGTTACAGGTAACAACACAATACCTGACACAGGTGTTACAGGTAACAACACAATACCTGACACAGTTGTTACAGGTAACAACACAATATCTGACACAGGTGTTACTGGTAACAACACAATAATACCTGGCACTGGTGTTACAGGTAGCAACACAATACATGACACAGGTGTTACAGGTAAAAACACAACATGTGTTAAAGGTTACAACAGAATATATATGATATATATATATCTGATATGGGTGTCACTCAGTGGACTAGATTGTCACATTTTAGGTTTTATGCATATTTTTGTGAATCGTTTTCTCCCCTGACAAATAGATAAGTATACCTTGAAAACACTTGTTTCCTATTGAGGTGTGTGTGTGTGTGTGTGTGTGTGGGTGGGTGTTTAGTAGAGTAGAGGGCGGTGATATATATTACTGTATGATTATAGTATAGTGTAATGCATATTGGTGTACATACCAGCTCCAGTTACCAACACCGTCTCCCCGGAAATATTCTTCGCTTGCAGACTGGTGGGTACGAACGTTAACACAATCGCCTTCAGCCAGTAGAATATAAGTGATAGTAACATGACAATTGTCTCCTTAATGAGATCCATGTAGTCCGCCATGTTTGTAGCTTTAACTCGCCCAGATCACACACCGGACTTCGGACCGTCCGAGGAACAGCTAGGCCTAGCTATATAGCTCTAGTACGACTCGGCCAATTAACAACCCTTCTCATAGCGTTATCAAGTAGGGAGGGGAAACTCGTTTTGATATCATATCATACAGTGTAAACAGCGTAAGTATCCACGAGTTATGTTTTATATTGTTTATAACATTTGTCAATTATTTACATCTTTTGATATTGTAACTAGCCTAATGAGGTCAGTGTGAGGGATCTAGTCCACATGCGGGTCATCCGGCCAAGGTAATGTAAACATTGTCTAAGGGATGTAACTCCTACACTATTTAGGTAGCATACCATCATTTTTTGACATTTACATTGCTATCACGACGGAACAAAATTTAAGAATATTGTTTTTATTTCGGATGAACTGAAATTAATCCATTAAACACAAAGTATTTTACTGTTACTGTCGTTAATAACTTCAGTGTTTCAAATAGACGAGGCTGGGGATTTAACGCGGGACTGGTCGCCGACGTTAGCTCCAAATTCGGATATCATTCTTACACTTGAAACAAGTACCAGTTTGTAAGAGGATTAGAAAATGCACGATCAGACCGGGGTTCGAACCGGGACTCTAGCAGATGCTCTACAAATTCTACATGTACATCATTACTCCTCTTATTTTGTATCGCAAAGAAAAAAAAGTGCCCTATAAAGATTTAGATTTGTTTGACTCTTACACATATACACGCATATTGTTGACACCCTTGTATGTAGCCCCACGCTCTTGAGTATTTGAATGTTATCGATGAACCCACTATACCAGTACTGAACAAATCTCGTTTTCATACGTGCATGCTTTAGAGTGTACCCTGAGTGTTTTGCTATATTTAGCTATAAGATACGTCATATTACACAATAAAGGACCTAGAAAATGCGAATGTCGTAGTTAGTTGCGTTTCCGAAATATTGTGATTGATCTGACATGCACGCCTTCGACACAACGGTGATCATCTCAATATGGGTTACTCAAATATTTTGACGTCACAAGTTCAACGCTGTCGAAACAGCCCAGCCCTATATAGAAATGTGCGAATATGAATATAGAAATGACTTTTTTTAAAAACAATTTAAATTATGATTTTCTTCCCTTTAGAGTAAACAAACGATGTACTGTATACGATTGTCTTTTCAGATCTCGTGAATCTGGTGACAGTAAACAATACCATTTCTTATTATCCAATTAATTTCTAGATGACCAATCATTAACACAAACCGAAACCCGATTAAAAATTCAGTCAAAGTAACGAAAGCGCACTCGCCACCCCTTAGTTATTTACATATGAAGATAACACACAAATACACAACATTGGTCTTGACCAAATTCCTGCAAAATTTTTGAAGGATTCTGCACCTATAACCATGATTCCTATTACTTTTCTCATCAATTTGTCCATTTCTGAAGGGACTTTTCCAGACGATCTTAAGTTAGCAAAAGTCATTCCTCTGTTTAAAAAGAAAGCTCGTCTACAGGCGGAAAATTACCGACCTGTCAGTATTCTTAGTATGGTTTCTAAAATTCTGGAAAAAGCTGTATACAACCAACAAGAAAATGTTCTGGTTTCAAAAAAATTATTGTATGAATTCCAATCAGGTTTTAGAAAATCACACTCTACTGATTCTTGTTTAATTCATCTGGCTGATTATATAAAATCTCAAACAGCGAAAGAGTTGTATACAGGTATGGTATTGTTAGATCTCCAAAAGGCTTTTGATACAGTGAACCACTCAGTTCTGTGTGAAAAGTTGAATCCTACAGTTGGTGTCAGTCTTATCTACAAAATAGATCACATTTAGTTCATGTGAATGGGGTAGACTCCTGATTGCAAAATATCCAATGTGGGGTCCCCCAAGGCAGTATTTTAGGCCCACTTTTGTTTCTAGTTTACGTAAACGATATGAAAATTAGTACTGACAACTCATTTCTTTCTTTCTTTCTTTAGTAGCCCCGAGCCTTACGACTCATAGGCACAAACGTAGAACATATAAATAAACATATATAACATATAATATATCCATGTAGCATACACTCATACGCACGACCACATCCACCCTCACCTCTCACACACACACATCATCACACACCCTCACCCACACCCTCACCTCTCACACACACACACACCATCACACACCCTCACCCACACCCTCACCTCCAGCGTCCTCTATATGGTCGTTAATCCCTAAGAACAATAATCACACACACCCTCACATGTTCACATACATGTAAGCACACCTGCTTAAGTGAAAACACTCCAGTACTCACTCGCTTACGTGCGAATCCGCACGTACCCCTTATCTTTCAGAATTATAAACTAAGTCAATCAACGGAGTAAACAATGCTGTGTATGAAAAACTGAACTCCTTACAAATCAAATCTAGTAATGGTTTTGCTTATAATATGCTTATAATACTTCAGATCGCCGTTTAAATGCATAAAGAATAAATTTTCCGAGGTTATTTAATTCCTTTACATTGTTTATACTTAAAAGCTGAATTAATTTGAACACACTAGGTCTGCGAAAATAATGATTTCAAATATTTAGATCGGAGATCTACATAAAAGGGACATTTCAAAATAAAATGGAATTCGTCTTCAATATCTCTATTATTACATAATGTACAGATCCTATTTTATCTGGCTACGTTCCTATATCTACAACTTTCAATATTGAGCTGATGTGATGATAACCTTGTTTTTGATATACATTTCTTGAATCGATAGTCGATAGGTTTCCTTAAATGAAACTGCAGCCCAAAATTGTCTATCAAATGCTGATATCCCTTTGGAGAATTTCGAATATTGCTCAACAATTCTTGAATGTTAATTTCTTGAAACTTACACTCAATTAACTTGTATACTAGTTTTCTGTGAAGACTGCTGTTCCATAAGTACCCGAATCCTAATTTATCTAGTTCTAACTTAATATTTACAATCCACTCATCATTATCTAATAATCTTTGTTCATAGCATGCTTTAAACACACAATTATCTGTATCTTTGATTTTAGTCCAGTATTTCATTATTTTCAATTTTCTGACAATATACATTGGTAATCTTCCTAATTCAAAATAAACTAAATCATGATATGTACTTTTCGCAACACCTAAAATCTTTTTACAAAAATGTGAATGTACTTTTTCAACATCAGTAGTTTTATGGAATCCCCTCACTTCACTTGCATATGTTAATACACTACTTACATAAGTATCAAAAACTGAGCATAACGTTTCAACATTAAAGTTATGATTTTTCATTTTGTTTATCAGTCTAAAATACGATTTTCTCCCCTTTTCTGCGGCATGTTGCTGCGTATTGTTAAATTTACCATCAAAATTGAAAAGCATACCCAGATGATTAAATTTGTTCACAACTTCAATTTCAACATCGTTGTAATACCATTTTTCATCATCTTTAACTCATGTAAACTCCTTCTATATGCAGATGACAGTACAATCATTTTCTCTCATAAAAATTTAACTATTGTTTCCTCTAAATTATCTGCTGTTTTGTAATCATGCCACAATTGGCTGGTTGACAACAAACTATCTCTTCATCTTGGCAAGACTGAAAGTATACTCTTTGGCCCCAAAAGAAAATTAGGTAAATTGGAAGATGGAGATTTCAAAATATCTTGTTTTGGACACGAAATTGGCTCACAATCTTCTGTAAAATACCTCGCGGTAGTATCGATAAATTCCTCTCTGGGGAAGAAATTGTCTCCAATATTGTATCTAAAGTCAATCAAAGTTTAAAATTTCTGTATCGCAATAGCGGCTGTCTCTCTCAAAAACTCGTAAAACTTTATGCTCTGCTTTAATTCAATGCCATTTTGACTATGCCTGTTCATCTTGGTATGAAGGATTGTCCAAAAAACTGAAGGGAAAACTTCAAACTATACAAAACAAAATGGTACATTTCATTCTTAATCTTGACTCTAACGCTACTGTTTCCTTCAAACAGCTTGAAAAACTTGACCTGCTTAATGTGAGACAAAGAGTGACTAAACTTCGTTTGAACCACTGTTTTGATATTTTCGATGAAAATTGTCCAAAATATATGAGTGAATTTTTTTACTAAAAACACGAAACATTTCGGTACCAGGTCAAGTAACATGAATTTTTCAGTAAATGTTAAATGTTAAAAACATGGAAACCTCTACTTTTTATTATTCGGCCGCCAAAGACTGGAATTGTCTCCCAGGTAACGCCAAAGAGACAAAATCCAAACAGCAGTTCAAAGTCAGTTATTTGATGAATAAAGCAAAAGCTGAAGACAATTCCGATTTTGTCTACTTTTAAATTCTCAATATATCTCCTTGTAATGCTCTAGTCTTGGCCAGTTCCAGAAGGTGGTAGGTCTTTTTGTTTTTGTTTTTCTTTTATTTGCTTAATCTCATTTTTTTCAGAATAAATAAGTGGTTTTTTTTATTTACCATTGACTGAATTAATAGTAACTAAATATTATTCTAGTCATGTTCTCTAATTTTAATTAACTAAGCTATTAAATTTAATTCATTAAATAATGAAATCATATAGATTTTGCTGTAAATTTAATGTGATGATTTGATACGGGTTTTTGAAAGATTTAGCTTTAATTGTTTAATTGTCTCAATTCTTTTTTAGTCTTTCATTGAATTTATTTTTGATTAATTAAAAAATATACCGGCATTTTAAAAAGGACCCCATTGGAATTAAGTCAGTAATTGACTTTATGGGCTATCCTAGATGGATACTGGCGTATTATACTAGTCGAATTTTCTCATGCACAATCAAATTTTAATTTAGTTTTATCTTCTGTGACACAATTTCTTAGAATCACCTGTGATAGTTTCTTATAGTTGATATGATTTTATAGAATATCTGTTTAATGTAATATTGCTTGCCGTGTATTTATCTGAATAAATATTGTTATTATTATTATACTCATGATTATCAGTAACACGTGTTTTCTAAGCTGCAGTTATAAAA